TTCTCTCTTCGATTTGTTCAGTTAAGATTTGAAAATGAAAGAGAGAAACTGATTGGCTGCTCTGCACAGCTGCTCCAGATTTTGTCTGCTCCAGTTTTGATAAATCCCCTTCATAGTATTTCCATTCAGAGATCCTGTGAAAGGATTGCATGGCTATGTGGGCACAGCCACCATGAATTAAAAAGTGTAGAGAAGCCTACGGAAGAACCCGGTGATTCAGGTAAGTGGGGGGTTTGGGAGGGAGAGGGGTTGGGTTATTGGGGATATGACCAAATTTCATGTGACACCCTGACTATGGATGTAACATGAAACATGGTCAGAAAGGTAAACTTACCCTTTAAGTCTTTTTGTTCCCACCAACCACATGCTGCAGGACTGGCACGCTCATATACTCCAGTGGTGAACATCCGTCTGATGGGTGCCGAGAAGTTCCTGGTCCACCCCACTACCATATAATGTTCTCTGTACTAATTACATTGTCCTTTCTTGCTCATTGATTATGTCCCAGTACACACATTCTTTACCTGGATCTGTAAAACCCTCGCAAGATGCCAACATGCTGGAACTGAAAGTATTTCTGGTGCCATTGTCAGTGCAGACACATTGGATGGGCTGGAGAGGTACCACATGTAAAACGCATGTGAGAGGCTGTGAATAGGCCCAAAGAACGTATCATACAGTGTGTGGAATAGAGAAACTGGACGGATAATACTAATAATAAATAAAAGAACAAAAACTGATCAATGCGAGATGTGCCAACAGACTGCGCCAATATCTTTCACAATTTAGTAGCATTCAGCGGGGGGATTTATCACAGCAATTGCAAATTTCAGCCTCTGAGATCTTTTTTTTTTTATGTGCAAATCTGTCTTTTAACATGTGTCCCTGTTTTCACCTGAGCTTACACTACTTTCCCAACTGCCCCTGTTTTCACCTGAGCTTACACTACTTTCCCAACTGCCCCTGTTTTCACCTGAGCTTACACTACTTTCCCAACTGCCCCTGTTTTCACCTGAGCTTACCACTGGCTGACACAGGAACAATGAAAATATTCATCACACCTAAAGTCACTCCAACAAGGAAAAACATATGTATCCAAAAATTCACGGCTCGGCTCTACTCTATGGAATCTGGTGTGGGCTGCTTATGAACCACGAGGAATACAAACTCAAATATTACTCATTTATTAAATAACAGGAAATGACACCTTTTTGCCAGTAAAGCATTGCAACCGTGTTCAGTAGATCATTGGCGCAATACTCTGGCTCCTGCAGACTGTTCCTCGCATCCACCCAGGTATGGACAGTCAGTAAGATGGACAGGAGAAAGAACGAATGGACTTCAAGGGCACTGATGTCACCGCACATGTATCCATCCTCTGCTGCGGTGGCTGATGAGACCCATAGGGGGGAATTTATTAAAACTGGAACAGACAAAATCTGGAGCAGCTGTGCATGGCAACCAATCAGCTTCTCTCTTCGATTTGTTCAGTTAAGATTTGAAAATGAAAGAGAGAAACTGATTGGCTGCTCTGCACAGCTGCTCCAGATTTTGTCTGCTCCAGTTTTGATAAATCCCCTTCATAGTATTTCCATTCAGAGATCCTGTGAAAGGATTGCATGGCTATGTGGGCACAGCCACCATGAATTAAAAAGTGTAGAGAAGCCTACGGAAGAACCCGGTGATTCAGGTAAGTGGGGGGTTTGGGAGGGAGAGGGGTTGGGTTATTGGGGATATGACCAAATTTCATGTGACACCCTGACTATGGATGTAACATGAAACATGGTCAGAAAGGTAAACTTACCCTTTAAGTCTTTTTGTTCCCACCAACCACATGCTGCAGGACTGGCACGCTCATATACTCCAGTGGTGAACATCCGTCTGATGGGTGCCGAGAAGTTCCTGGTCCACCCCACTACCATATAATGTTCTCTGTACTAATTACATTGTCCTTTCTTGCTCATTGATTATGTCCCAGTACACACATTCTTTACCTGGATCTGTAAAACCCTCGCAAGATGCCAACATGCTGGAACTGAAAGTATTTCTGGTGCCATTGTCAGTGCAGACACATTGGATGGGCTGGAGAGGTACCACATGTAAAACGCATGTGAGAGGCTGTGAATAGGCCCAAAGAACGTATCATACAGTGTGTGGAATAGAGAAACTGGACGGATAATACTAATAATAAATAAAAGAACAAAAACTGATCAACGCTAGATGGGACACATTGGATGGGCTGGAGAGGTACCACATGTAAAACGCATGTGAGAGGCTGTGAATAGGCCCAAAGAACGTATCATACAGTGTGTGGAATAGAGAAACTGGACGGATAATACTAATAATAAATAAAAGAACAAAAACTGATCAATGCGAGATGTGCCAACAGACTGCGCCAATATCTTTCACAATTTAGTAGCATTCAGCGGGGGGATTTATCACAGCAATTGCAAATTTCAGCCTCTGAGATCTTTTTTTTTTTATGTGCAAATCTGTCTTTTAACATGTGTCCCTGTTTTCACCTGAGCTTACACTACTTTCCCAACTGCCCCTGTTTTCACCTGAGCTTACACTACTTTCCCAACTGCCCCTGTTTTCACCTGAGCTTGCACTACTTTCCCAACTGCCCCTGTTTTCACCTGAGCTTGTACTACTTTCCCAACTGCCCCTGTTTTCACCTGAGCTTACACTACTTCTCCAACTGCACGTGTTTTGCTCCTGTTTTCATCTGCACTTGTTCTGCGGATGTCTGAAACTGGAGCATCACCTAACAAAACAATCACAACGTAAGAAGCCCCATGACCACTTCTTGAGGGCCGGTGCACACCTAGGCGACACCTTACCACGTGGCAATCGTGCACGATTCCACGCGGATTGCCGTGCGGTCAGGAGTCGCCTTGGTGTGCACCGATCGTGCTGTATGTGCCATCATTTTCTAATGGCACCCCAGTCGCGCCGGGCGGATCGCGCAGTTTCTCGCTGTAATGCCGCCGTGCTTCCGAACACTATCGTGGCTAAAACCCACATACAAGTACATGTACCTTTTTTCTGCGATTGCCACGCGGATGTCACCCCATTGAAATCAATGGGGCCGCCTGGCAATCGCGGCCTGCATTGTGCAGGACCAAGCGATCCCGGGGTGCGTGATCCCGGATCGCGTAGGTCTGCACGGGGCCTCAAGATGCGACAGTGAAGCTTTTTGCCTGGCGTTAGGAGTCTTCTTTCCTGGAGTCTATTAAACCTCATTTATGAACAACATTACACTAGCAACATAAATCTGGTGCAAATGTATTCCGTGCAAGTTCAAACACTCGCAACTGCTACGATAAATTCCCCCCAGTGTGTTTATATCTGATCATCGCCTACTCGTTCAAAAATTGGCTGAAAGACAACATAACATAGAAAAGAAGCGCTCCGGGATAATCAGATTTATCTATAGGAGGCTGACAGCAGCAAATGAGGCGAGGCAATTCAAACCAACCAATCACAACTAATCTTTTGTTGTACTGGGCAGGCCAAATAATGGTGATTTAATCATATTTAATGCTAATAAAATGACTTTAAACAACATAAAAAACAACTTCCTGTTAGCGTGGATGTGGAAATCTCTCC